CTGAGATATGCAGATTAGTAAAGAAGCTAATGCAATTGTGGTTAATTGGTGGTATCTCCCTTGCGAGTTTGTTTGATGTCTTAGCTGCCACAAGATCTTTACAAGTGTTTAACATTTAGCTCTTTCTGTTTGTAATACTATTGGTGTGTCTTTCATCAGAAAGAAATTTCAGGATTTGAAACTTCTTTACATGTACTCGTATTACATTGCAGTGTAATTCTTAAAAGATTTAAGTTTTGTTGATCTTCTATGTAAAACTTGCCATGGTTACTCTAGCTAGCCTCTTGCTCCTTGTACAGTTTTCCTTCATGATTTTATAAATCCTAATGACTCAATTAATCAAGAACCAATCGATGAAAGCTGTGATTATGGAACAAGAGCTTCTCAAACACAAAATAAAGAGAGAAGAAATAAGAGAATGGCAAAAAGAGATGAAATAGCACTCCCAGTGTAGAATGATTGTTTAGCAAGAAGGAGGATGTGATTTTTTTTTCCATATTTGATTTATCTATGAATTTTTTAAAGTTCTAATAATTATAAAATTTCTATAAGTTTTTCCTACATTTGAGTTCTTGTAAATGCAGATTCTTTTCAAAATATTTTTGATTTTGTGTACTAAAAAATCTACTATTAATGAATTTCCATATGTCCTTAACTTATTATGAATATTTTTGCCTTTTCATAGCTCATGCTATACTAATATCTTTAATGTTAGCAAATAAATCAGTATTATAGACATTATATAAATTCTTGACATATTTATAATGAATTTTGTTAGAAAATTTTTACTTAAAATTTAAATTTAAGTCTATACTAAATATTGAAGAAAAATCTAATAAATTTATGATAAAGAATTTTCCCTTTTTTTAATTGTTGCATTTTAGTGATAACAACACGTAATTGATAAAATTATTGATCAAATTAACCAAAATTAGAATAATAGTAGAACGCATCAATATGAAAAATTCCTTTGAATTTTTTTTGGATAATTCAATTCAATCAATCCTACTATCAGTAATTAAAGTTTTGTACTCTCATTAATTCATTTTGCTTAAAAAACCTTTAATTAAAGTAATTCACCCGCTGCTAGTCCTTTTTTATTCTCTCTTTTGGGCAGGCATTGGCATCTTGGTCTGTGAAGCTTTCATTCTTTAATTATTATTTGTGGCCCAGAAACAAAAGACTCATGTGAAAATCAAATACAGCAACCACATCAGAAACACAATACAAACACTCAACTACAAAACAAAAAATGCTTGACCACATAGAAGGTTGTTTGTGCAAGCAGCCCATCCTTGTCAAGAATGACAACCAGATTCAATGGGGGAACTCGAATCCAATTCAAAGGACATTCCTACTTTCTGCTATGAATAACTACCCAATCCGTGGCCTTGCATGAGGATAGTGTTGAAGTGTAAGTTCCCGTGGAGTTGAGAGTTGCGTATAAGATCCCATAACGAAGAGAAGCAAGATGCTAGAGTACAATATATAAATATGCGGGCAGATGAACTTTATTAGCATGGCCTTCAGGTTAAATATGGTATGTCTCTCATGCTTGCGCTAGGTCATCTTCTTCCTATTCTTCCCTCTTCTTGTCGATCGCTTCTTTACCCGCGTGTGCAGGCATCCAACTACCACGACGAGCATGATAATGAGCATCATAAACAAAGAATATACACGAGAAATAAGCGCATGACCGAACCACAAATTAAAAATGAGCAAACTTGCTAGCATTCCGATTACAGAACTTGGGGGGCAAGATATGGATTTGGGCATTGCTTGACAATTGGTTCTAAACAAAATGTAAACCCAAAAGAGGTGGAAACCCGCCACCGTTAACTCCTCAATAATCTGGTTTCTTCCGCCGGTACTCCTATCAGTGAGCAGTGACTCAACTTCTTGCACCTCCGACCGATCTTCTCCCACCTCCAACCACTTCTTGTCTAGCCAGATCCGAAAACCCACTAGCGGAAAACAGATGGCCACAACTATCCAAGTTTGAGAGTTGAGTCCGAAGAGATTGTACGCAACCGATCCAATGACTCCAACTAGAATACCGAACAACCCAAGGTCCGTGGAGGGTCGGATTATGACCAGTAGGATTAGAAACAAAACAGTGATGCTCAAGGCAAAACCCAGACCACTCAAGGATTTCTCATAAAATTTCTCAAAAACAAGAGTTAAAATCAAGCAGATGAGATTTGCTATAAGATTTACCATGGAGCTACACGGTCTATGGATGAATTTAAGTTGACTCAGATCACTTAGAATCCTCGAATTAGATACCAGAATGGCTATGATTTGGTAAGACAACGCCGTTTTGAATCCGGTGCGATCATGTTTTGCATATAGGCTGGTATTCCACACAAAAATGGTTGCAGTAAACAGAGCAATCTGGGCGAAGAGAATGGCTGATGGTGAACCTTTTTTCTCGTCTTCGCGGAGTCGGTTCCTCAGAGCCTCTGAT